TGGGCGGGGGCGGGCGGGGGGCGCGGGGGGCAGGCACGGAGCTGCGCCCTGCGCTCCCCGGTACACAGGGCGCTTTCTGAGAACCGGGGCGTGTGTTTGTTTACTCCGTCTTCACCCGCACAGCCGCTGGAGGACTGTAGGTGCTCCGTGCGTAACGCCTGCAAACGACCGTTTGCTTTAGCGTGAGAAGCGGATCACTTAGCTGTGGAACAACGAACTGATCCTTTCTCCGTGTGAAAGATGCCGATGCTGAGAACGGGGCGGTGACGGTGACACCGGTGGATGCTTAGAGATGTGGGAGAGTTGAAACATTTTGGAATGATGACTTTTTTCTTTAAGAATACAAGCACTAATTAATGCTGAGTGTTTACAGTTTGTTTCCCAGTACACAGATAATGCCTCTGCCCTCCGAAGCTCCCCCGGTGGCCTCAGAACAGGGTGCTAGGCCCACCGCCCTAGGCATCCCTCCATTGTGATGAGTTAACTTCTGTCTTTGCTGCTAGAATGGAGCTGGTCACGTGCCATATGTAGGAAAGTGGAGGGAAGGGGCACTCAAACTGTCACCTATGTTCTGAGGGTCACCTGAGGAACCCTGGTACAGAAAGGCAATGAACTCTTTATCCTGAGGATCGTGGAAATTACGCTTTGCACTTATTCCAAGGAGCTGTCTTCGTAGTCCTGTTTCTTTCCTTTTCCTTGGTGGTCAGACACCTGGACTACTGCAGTTTGCAGCAGGTACGGTGTGTGATCTCCCTCCACAATGTCTGTTGGTGCCACGAGTAGGAGCTCAAATATTTGCTAAATGAGGAAATGCCGACGGTTTCGGAGCACAAGAGCTGCAACCGCTTTAGCAAAACACAGCCCAACTCATGTGATGTCGGGGCGTAGTACGGAAGATCTGTCAGGAGAATACGTAAGTGGCTTTTTTGGGCCTGACCAGCAGGACGTAAATAAGGCAGCCGTTGGCCCCCTCAGTCCGTGCATGTGTCAGGAGTGAGAACGTGTAACCCTGCTTTTACTAGAATCTCGGAGCTAGACGTGACCTTCTCTAGGTCAGTCCCGTCCTGCTGTAGTTGTAGAGCTGTTAATGGGAGTTCCTACTTCTGGATTTGTCTAATCCTGGGCAGATAATTTTAAAACTCTCAAAACTTCAACGTGCCTATATATAAAACTGGGTAATAACATCTCCCTTGTCTACTCACAGAGGGAGTTGTAAAACAAAATTTTCTCCTGTGTGTGACACTCAGAGAAGGTGGGGAAGAGAAAATGCTATGTAATTATAAGTGTTATTAATATTAGTTTTTTATGTTTTCAGGGAGTTATAAAAAGCAGTCTCTCTAGTATAAAATAGTAAGTTAAAATTGAATTTGACATACTTAAAGTTTATTAACTTTTAATATTTAAAAACTCATCTGAAAGTTAAATTATGAGAATTAAGCATTTTCCCCCCTGCAAGCGTGTCTTTTCCTAGCAGTTTTTGGAGTAGTTAGTTGACTGCCCACTTACAACCACCTTTTTAAATGGCTAGTGTTTTAGCCTAGACAGAGTTTAATATTTAGTTTTAGAAGTTAAAATGCCTCATCAACAGTGTCCACACTGACAGAATACTTAAGATGCCTCCAAGAGCTTTCCCTTGTTAGCTGTTAGTGCTTCCTCCTGAGAAATAGATTATCACTGATAACTCCCTGGGAAGGACTTAAACATCGGTCTGTCCGATACAAGTCAGATGTAGGTTTAGCTGCTTCTAACCAATGATTCTGGTTTTGAGCAGCCAGTTCATTTGGGTGCAGAAACTAAGTGACTTGCCCAAGATCTCTAGGCCTCTAAGTCCAGCATGATGTTTCTGATTTACAAAAAGTGGAAGAGCCACCCGTCCAGCAGAGCCTCGGTGCGCTGTGGAGGGCACAGCCCCGGGAGAGAGGGTGAAGAGGGCGTGATGAAGCTCAACCTAGGATGGATGCCAGTGGGAGTGGGGTGGCTATGCTATGAGGCGATGGCGCCAATATGTCTTGCCCCCCCTTTAAAAAAAACATGTATGCAAATGGATATATTTATTATAGTTAAGAATGGAGAGACTGCAGATTTCAATTGTGGGAAATGTTTGCAGGATAATACACACACACACACACACACACACACACACACACACACACACACGGCAGCTACATGTCGTATTCATTAGTAGACCTAAGGGAAACGAGATGATTCTTTTTAATCCCTGGGTTCAAGGTGATGAATTGCAAATATAATTTTTTAAAGGGAAGGAAAACCACCCAGATATATTTAAAGTTACTTTTTGACAACTCAGATTGCATGTATAGTTCAGCTTCTGGTTTATAATATAAAACGCTTTTTTTCCTAAATATTTAACTGAAACTTCAAATGCTAAGAATTTTATATTTATAATTTTGTGAATGTATATGTTTATGCAACACAAGTTTACAATTTCCTAATTTACCCAGTTGGCCAATGTTTTACATTTTTTATCATCGTACAAGCAGTTCCCGCAGTTGGAATCTAGTTTCTCTGTTCTCACCTTTAGGGAGCACGTCCGTCTGCACCCGCAGCGCACTCCCTCCTTTGAGAGAGCAGGTCCTCCCCGTTTACAGAGTCACACTTCTTGTTTTTAACTTCAAGTCTATTCTGAATTTAAGGAAGAGAAAACCTGAGAGATAAAAGTTCATGAGCAGGGTTCCTCTTCAGCACATGCACTTCCCAGGTCGATGGCCTCGGTCCGGTCATGGGACCCTGTTGCTGTCCAGCGTGCGTGCCCCATCCCCCCCATGGCGGCGAGGATCCCCGAAGTTGCTCTGCCTTCTCTGCTGGGCTCATACCTTTTGGTTTCAGTTCAGACACGACCAGGAAGGCTTCTGCCCTTTCCCTCCGATGTCCCCAGAGGTGGCCATTATCCTGTCTCTGCGCCGTCCCCAGACCCTCCGCCTGTCCAGGGCAGCCTCGTTGGCCACTTTTGCCTGGGGCCCCGGCGTGCTGCGCAGAGCACCTCGGCCATGTGCCATGGCCGGGTGGGTGCGTTTCCACTTGAGAATGCCCACGGGAAGAAAGGCGTGGCCGACAGTGGGATCTGTTGTCCTCAGGCTCTTTCAGTCGCAAAGGACAGAAACTGGCGACAAAGGACAGGGGCGTTGTGTTAAGAGCTGATGGTGCCTTGGCCGACCAGCGGGAGGGCAGACTGCGCCTCAGACCTCAGGGGGCTGGCCCAGGACCCGCCCCCCATCCCGTCCACTCTGCGCCACTCTCCTCAGCCTGCGTCTGTCCGTTTCTGGGTCTCTGTCCTTGTTTAGTGCCCCCCCCAGTCTCCTCACCCCCGCTCACTAGTGCAGCGTGGCCTGGCCCTGGTTGGGGCGTGACGCACAAGCTGCGAGAAACCAGACAACGTCCTTGCCCTGGGCAGTGTGGTGTGTGGGAGTGACACGGGACGGCTCATGTGCCTTTTGTGGGGACTGCTCCTTTCGCGGGAGTGCTGCGGCCCGGCCTGCGGGCAGTCGGCACCACTCTGGGAAGTACGGGCAGGCCGGCGAGTCTGGAGGCTCGGGGGTGGGGACAGTGCTGTGTGGGACAGGGAGGTGACGGTGTGAGGGTGAGCGGAAAGGGGAAGTCTTCACACCAAGCGGGTGCAGAGGGCCGCGGATAGCAGCGGCGTTTGCGTGGACCGTGGCGGTTCCGTGGGGCTGGGTATGGACATGGGACAGCGTGCAGTGGGACCGGACAGTGCCGTGTTCTAGCGCAGGCCACACAAGCACCACTGAGGTACGCAGCGCGAGAAGGGCCGCCGGCACCGTGGGGACAGACGGCCGACGGCCAGCTTTCCCGGGAGCCCGTCCGAAACGTTCTCCTGTCACTCAGTGATTTAACTTTGCAAAAGAAATTAGTGCGTTCCAGCAGCAAAGGTGCTACAGCCACCGCGCACCATGTCAAGGTCACCTCACTTCCCCCCGCTGCTTGTAAGCAGGGCCCGCGTGTCCGTGTGCGTGGAGGGCAAAGCCACGTTTCGGCCAGCTTCGGAGTCTACTACTTGGCGATAAT